AGAACACCGGGGACCCATAGCCTTTGCACTGACTTCTTTGCCACTTGTGCCCATGTATGACGCGCCTCTGAGGCGTTTTTGTTTCGCCTGGTTCTGCTTCCATGTTTCTGGATTGGACTTCTTGTATCTCTTCCTTTTCTTTGAACAGTCAGCACCTTCATTTTCATTGTCAGAGGACACCTCACTGTTTGGTTTGTCCGAATCTTCAGCATGAATAGGGCTGGGTGAGTCTAAATCTTCATCAGTGGATGCATCACTGTTGCTTGGGTGATAGTCTGAATCTTCAGCATGCACAGAGCTGGGTGAGCCTAACACATCTTCATCAAGAACAGAGTTTTGCTCTGCCACACACAGTTCTATGGCTCCAATGCTGAGATCGTTTTCAGCAGCAGAGAGTAGATTAGCATTGGAGTTGTCAAATGCATCATCTACAAAAAAAAAAGGAAAATACCTAACTATTACAGCCCATACAGTTATGACAATAAAGAATTTACTTTTGGTATATTTTATGATGGGTGTTAAGACTATGTAACACACTGATGTTTAAATTCATCAGAGATGTATGAAGTAGACGCACACAATTCCAATACTCCATAGCAGCACTTCTACTGATACTTTATACATACTTCAAACATACTTTATACTTGATACAACTATGTTTCATGTCCCTAAAAATCCATATCAAAACACTTTCAAATTAAAACCAAGTCTTTACATTTCTGGAAGAGTTTCTATTTTTAGCATAATGTATGGTATTTTAGCTAGCATTGTCAGCTACTGCATTTTTCTGACACAGATGAAGATCAACTACAGTATAATAACACAGCTATTCTACACTATCTGTGGAATATTAATTGGCTGTACTTTATCATTAAGACCTTAATTTCTTATCATAGTTATAAAAAAAAAACATACTTACCATTTTTAGATGAACTCTGAATCAGTGCAAAAAGTTCACTGACTGAATCATCCATCATGAAGCGCTGTGTGAAAATTGCCTAAGTCACACTGTATTTTAACTTGAGCAAAATAAATCAGCCTAAGTCACATCTCTTGACATAGGCAAAAATCATAAATGGGTTTTACCACATGATTAATTCAACTGAGGGTTCTGGCCATTTCACCATAGGTGGCCAGCAGGGGGAGGACATGAGTTATGCAAAAAAGTCAATTTGGCCAAAAAATGACTTAGGCGATTATTTTAAGAAGGTGATTAGTACCAAAGATCATGAATGAAATAATATCTAAAGAGCAGAGTAGTCTGATTACTGAGATTATTTTCCTTCCTAAATATTTAGATTATTTTTATCCTTTAAATCATTTCCTCATTTACTGAACTAAGTCATGTTTTGCTGTAAGGCTGAAACAATTAATCAAAATAATAGAAGATTGAAAATAATAAACTAATTAGTAATAGATGAATTGTTAATAGGATTATAAAGACTCACATCCCATTAGCTGAAAAAGCTACTCAAAGTATTAACTATGCTGAAATTGTACAAAACAAACAGTTTGCATTTTTGAATAAGCTCTACCCAGAACTCGAGTGATAAAGATTTAACTTTATTTCTATATAAAATCTTTAAAGCGCCTTTTTGCTTTCTGATTATCAATACTGAACAAATTATCTACAGATTAATCAGTTAGCAAAATAATCAGTTTCAGGCCTATTGTGGACCTAAGGTATTTTAAACTGGGATTGTGGCTTGTCTAATAGATGCCACTATCTGATTGGTTAACCTGAAGCTGGAATCAATACCAGGCATTCCTCCTCTTCTGGACTATAAATAAATGTTTAGTTCTGTGTAATTGGTGCCACATTTGCATTGAAAATGCATTAAGGGTTAAGGAAGAGATTTGCCCATTAAAACAATGTATGTTGAGGCAGGTCCCCATAGACAAGCCTCAACAACTGTTGCAGGTATTAATACTTAATGCTGACACTGGTACAGATTTCTCTGATAACACAGTGGGCAGTACACCACTTAACCAGTGCAAAAATAGTAAAAGGGCAAAAAAAAGCATTAGTGGGCTTGTGGCGTCCAGTAAACAACATAGTGTCTTTTTCTGACCCAGAATGGCAGGCTGTGGGATTTTGGAAATACTTGCAGCCTTCAGAACAGACCCACTCTGCTCTAACCTCTAGGCAGAGAGGAAATTAAATGTTTTTCTTGAGTAGCACAGAGACTAAACTTTAGCTCATCCCACAAATGCATTAATCTCCAGAACAGACATTCCAAAGACCAAATTTAGTGCCAAGGAGCATCTTTGCATTCATTGGATTGAGGCAACTTAGACCCTCCACATAGTGGAGTCAATATCTCCTCATTCAGATGACCACCTGCTGGATATAGCTAGAATAAGATTAACTACCCGCAAAGTATCATTTTAGGTAAAAAGAAAACTTTCTACTTTTAAAACTTTAAACCCTTAAGCCTTCCCAAAGCTGGTTTTCCCACTGTTTCCTGACATGATTAAATAAATGTGCTAAAAGAACATTCAGCCACCGGTACATCCCATTACATTCCTAAAGGTAACACAGGTAAACACTAAAGTCTCCCCTGAGCTTCTCTGCTACATGTTTAGTTGTCAGAGAGGATAAAACTGGTGGAATGTGTTTCAATGTAGCTACCTTCTGATTCTGCGGGAGGTGACGGCAGCTCGCACATGATTTCCTGGTCCACAGTGAAAGGTCGGCACAGAACAGACTTGTTCTTCATCTGACGGCGGCGTGGCGCCGGCGCACGCATGGCGTCAGTCTGTGTGCTGGCCTGAAGGCATCACACAGAAAAAAATATGAACATTAAAAACACAATTTTTTCCTCATCAGGCAAATACAGATTATAATCTCTGCATTTAAAAAAAATTATCTTAATACATCAAAGATATTCACTTAACATTAAACAAGTCAATCTCATATTGCATTAGCATAGACTCACACCAAAAGTTTGAGAAATTCAATATTGAACCCGACTTAAGTTGGAAAAATAAATCTTTTTATTGCCTCTCTCTGCACTTAGATTTTTGCAACATTGGATCAAAGAGAAAAGCAGATCTTTTCCAGCATAGCCAGCCAGACCGACCACATGGAGAGTAAAGAATCACCACTTTTAATGTATCATAACAGTTAAGATTGCAGCCTAAACAGAGTGATGTTTGAATGATTTATTTTACTATGTGCACAATGAGTTGAAGACAATAGCATTTCAACAACCACTGTAAGAGCTTTTCTTTAGAAAATGTTTTTCCGTTTACATTCATTGTGACCCTTTGAATTTAGGTTCTACCAGTTCTTTTCACACAGGGGAATATTTGTTCAATATAAAGCATAATCGTTAAGCTCTTTGAAACTTTTAACAGTAAAAATTGACAAATTTAGTCAAGCAGTTCTGATCTAGATGCCATTTTCTGACTAAACAAGATCAACACAAATTTGAGAAAGATTCATCCTAAATTGAATAAATGCACTGAAATTAATGTTTGTATTGTTCTACATTTTATTGGGATATTATTCTGCAAAAGGAAAAAGTGAGTGTGTTTAATCCCTGCATGGTGTTTTCTGTTTGAGCTGCCTGTTTATAGGAGAAAAAGGATGGAAGTCGTACGTGATCGAGGTTCTTTCCATCTACGCTGGAGGTTGGAAACTCTCCTAAAAAACAGAGATAAGACCGTAATGTTAGAAACATAAAGAGCAACTCAATAGCAGCTACTTTACACCAGCTGAACTAGTTTATTAATAAGTTTAGGGATTTAAAAGTGGACAAAAAACAAAGAACATCATCGGTAATTTTGGAGAATTAATAAAACTAGGTATATGACCAAAAAATATCAAATCTATGAAATCCCAGTGTTAATACACCTGTTATGCATATTAATGGGAGGAAATTGATGTAAAAAATAAATTTAACACCACAGTAGTGGGTTAATAAAAGCCTTAAACTGCCTTTCTCCAGGTTTTTTTTTTTGTCTGAACAAAAAAATGACCACTGCTAACAGCATGGGTAAACTGACCGGTCAGAGCTGCATCTGCCGACCCACTGGGCTGAGAGGCTGAACCGTTGGCTAAGGAGACGACATCTGCGATGACGGGATTCATCTTCGTGGAGTGATGAGGTTGCACTGGAGCTGCACAAAATTATTTCAACGAAAAAATAAAAATAACACCACTGTCTTTGAGTTCTAATGAACTTGAGGTATAATTTACTGAGAGAATTTACCGGATGGCACAGGTGGGGCAGTTGCTGTGCCGTTGGTGCTGGTAGTGTGTTGACCTGTTTCGAAGTGAAGGGAGCAGTACTGCAGCAGGCAGGATATGTTGCAGAAGTTACAGACCGAGCCCAAGCAATGCAGCTTCTCGTTCATGTACCCCTGCTTCCTGCAGCCATCGCACCGACCCATCTGACCAGAGAGAGATAAAACAAGATTAGAGAAGAAAAAGAACCAAAAGGACATCCTGCCCCAGTGATAAGTCCCTGGTAAATATGGGAATCCCTAACTTCCCTCAGCTAGTCTTCAATTTTTGGGGCAATATAATTTATGTGGAACAGCTGCAGATGCACAGAATTACTACAGTCACCAAAACCTCACCTTTAAGGGTGTTACAAGGGGGAAAACCTTCAATGTTTGACATGACCATTTAAAAAATATCAACTAAATCTAAAATCTAATAAATTTAAACACCAAAAAAAAAAAAGCTAAAAAAAAAGGAAAAAAAGAAAAAAGCTTTAATGACAGTGCTAGATATGCATATTGATATGGGATGGGTAAAGTTTTGGGCTTCTGAGTCGTTCACTCTGAGCTAAACTGTTTTAATCTGTGAGAGAGCAGTTCAGAACCGAGCAGTTCTGCCGTTCTGTGGCAAACGGCAGTCGTTTTCCATGATATCGACTGCTGAGGAAACCTCTGTAGGTTCCATGTGTTGCCTCATGCTAACAGTAGGGATGCAGATATGGCCTACAACTATTAGCAAAATAGATTAAAAATATCAGTGGCCTCCTGAAGACATTAGTTTTAAACAATGACTGAATTTATACAAGTGATAGAGACCAAACCTAAACCTTGTGTTACTCTGTAAAACGCTTCAAGGTCTGTGGACAGCAGCCCTTATTCTGAATAATTTTAGCTGGGCTTAACAGACCTGCTACACCTAGTCACACAGCATTTACCAAAACATCTAAAAATAAAAATAATACTCTACTTTAAACAAAAATATTTAGAAGGAGGGGAAATTTTTTCCTCAAAAAAGTTGCTGCTGTTTTTCCTTAAACGTTTTTTGATCTGATCCTTAGATCTTTTTTTGGTGCTTTGTGTACACATGTCCTTTACTTACTCCATAGTAAAGCACGGTGTACTGGGACATGCAGTGAGGTTTGCAGAACTCCTCAATCTTCCCTCCATAGTGACTGATCATCATCTTCTGTCCGAGGCTACAGCAGTAGGAGCAGGGACGCAGGGAGCGATCCTGTTTGAAGGTCTGTTTGCAATCTGTGGGTTAAAATAGGGGAAGAAGTCATCCAAAGGAACAACAACACTCTTCAATGAATTGTCTGAGTTTACTTTTCATCAGAATTCTACACTTTTTCTAGATTAAAAACCTTCAGATTTCTGTCCCCACTTGTTCCAATCAGTTAAATCCTGTTGATTTAATAACTGCTACCAGATAACAAAACAAAATGAAATTGGCTAAATTCTGATCATATGCATTTTAAAAAACAAGTGCATTTTTTTCAGGGTTTTGAATGCAGCACTTTGCATGGGCAAAAAATTTTTTTTAACTTACTTTCGCTGCAAAAGAACACATCCTGTGGACCGAGGTTGGTGACCTCATAGAGGATCTTTTCCTCTTTGCAGCAGCTGCACATGGTGAGGACATTTTTCTGGATGTTATACTGATCACAGCACCCTTTACTGCAGAACAAAGAAATACGGCCCTGGAGAGAAAAAACGAAGGCAATTGAGAGGGAGAATATTGTTTGAAAAGAAATGTATGTATGACAAAATGTTTCTCACCTGGTGGGTGAGAAGTAGTGGCTTGCTGCTGAACTTTTTGCTGCACTGATAGCAGGTGAGTTTGACAGCATCACTGAGCCCATCCTCCACTGGTTTAAGAGGCTGCTCCAGGGGGGATCTAGCTTGGGCCTGTCCAGGGACAGTAGGAGTGGACACGGCCGATTGAGGAGGCACTAGTGGGGGCACTGATGTGTGGCTGGGATGATGTCCAGGGTACGGGACTGAGGAGGAGAAATCCTGAGGAATGGGGGGGACTGATGTGGCTCCGGTGGCTGCAGTAGAGGTTCCTGGCTTCGGAAGATCTTTACTGGGAGGATCCCTGAGAGAGGCGGTTCCATTGGTCAGATCAGGCTGAGATGAAAGGGAAGATTTCTGCAGAAAAGAAAAAAAAAATACAAGAGTGAGCATAAAAAAAAAAAAAGGGACATAAAAATTCTTTCAATGGGACTTTTTAAAGTCAAAACTAACTTGATAATTACCCTAAATGTGGTCACACAGGCTAAGGAACAGAAGTTCCGAATGGTGCCATCCACCATGGCGAGATGGTACTGAGGAACCGCAGGAACTTTACACTGGCCGCAAGGGAAAGGAGTACCTGCAACAGATTAAACTATCAGTAACTTTCAATCCTGAAGCTTTTGTCTTTACATCCGACTAACGCGGCAATGCTTGCCGTGTCGTACCTGTGAGGTTATGCTGGGCCGGGTGACTCTGTTCCACACATGCATTAGAGCAGTACAGCTGAACTTTACCCTTTTGGTCCCGCTCCATGATGGTAGAGGAAACCACAGCTGTCTTGTGACAGTTGGCACACTCTGTAGACTTTCTGCATGCCTACATAAAAAAAAAAATATATATTATCTTTCATAAAAATATATTATATATATGGTTGTTATAAGTAAAACTTGATTTGCAAGAAACATTCCATAAAAGTAAAGAAAAAAACAAAAAAATAATGGACTTTGCATCCAAGTTTGAAGACATTTCGCTTCCCATCCAGGAACCTTTTTCAATTCAAAATGTCAGAATTAATGTGGAGTTCCAAGCTTTATAGAGTAGCCCAAAACAAGGCCTTGTTTTGGCTTAGAAAACATGCAAATTGAACCGGAAGAATGGGTCTGCCGCTTAGGAATGGGGAGTTGTTGAGATCTTAGCTTAAATCTCAATGCTAATCCAGACATTTTGAATTGAAAAAGCATCCAGGATGGGAAGCGAAATATCTTCAAACTTGGAAACAAACTCCGGTGGATTTTTTTTTTTTTTTTTTAAACTTTGTTGCAATAACTGTGACCTGGATGATTGAGAATCTTTAACAGGGTATTGTAAGAGACAGAAATTGTATTGGATTCTAGTTCTTCTGAAACAAACCTGTTTATAGGTGCCAATGCAGGTGGAGCTGCAGAAGTTGAGCTGAGATTTTTCAATCGTCAGCGTTTGACAGGAACCAGACTTGCTACTGCAATAAAGTCCGCAGCCTTCGCAGCAGTTCATGGCCACCTGACGCAGTTTGCGCCAGGTCAGAAAACAGGAGTCGCTGCAGAGTCGGTGCAGTTTTCCTTGATGGGTGACCTCATGCTCAATTTGCTGTAAAAGGAAAAACAAAACAAACCAAAACAAAAAAAGCTATAAAACGTGCAAGGAGACCAAAAGAGGCAATAGTGACCTGGGAAAAAAAAAATCATATTCATCCAATGTTTACATTTCCTTAAAGTACAAAACACATCCACCAAACCTTACAATAAGCAAAGATTTTATGTTTATACTCTTCCTTCAGTATCGTACCTTGTTGGTGATTTTGCAGATACTACAGGAGGGTTTTTCAGGCAGACGTTCTACTGGTTTTTCAGGTGGCTTCTCAGGCTTCCTCTCATTGCGTTTATCAGTTACTACTTTATCCACGTGTTTCTTCTTGTGTCTGAATACAGACAGGCAAAACTGGCCACAAAAAGGCATGATTGTGCCGTCTTCTGCTGGGACTGTGACCATGTCTCTGGGCTGAACTATCTCTCTGCAAACCATAAAGGGAGGGAGAAATGGTTATTACTAGTCATCTGATGAAAAGTAGAGCTCTTTTTATTCCATGTCTGCTTCTGATTGGTTGAGCAGCTCATTTTGATGTCTCCTCCACAGGAAGCACATGCTTCAACTGAACAGACTCCAAACACAAACCAAACCGTAGAACCCAGTGAACCTAGTCGAACTGAATAATAGAAGAATCAATTGTTCGCTTTTTTCAACAAAACTTTATATATGATTATTTTTCTGTGGAAATCACCAAAGATATTTGTTGTTTCTTTATATTTTGCTCAGCATCACTTATATTTTTGATGCATTTCCTTTCCTGTTCATCCAGGGACCTAATTTAAAAGCCAGTCTGCTTAGTAAGTTTTTAACCAATTCAACAGCTGCTGTTTAGAGATTTCTTCAAAACTCAGAGATGAGAGGGGGTCAGAACCACACACTTAAAGAAGTCTAGTTTTCTCTAAACATTGAAAGCCACACAAATTTGGACCAACCATGGGAGATTTGCTTTTTTATTGTTCTTCTGATGAAAGCCAGCTAATTAAAATTGTGTCTAAAACTTTGGCCAACTATTTTTTTTCCCCTCAAATCATTAAAACCAAGATAAGGGATCAAAACGAAAATTGGGTTTAAAAACCCTCTCCTAAGGCTCCTGGGAAAACAGACTCTTGGGTTTTAAAATCTGTTAAGGTCTGGTACTAAATATCTTTTTGCAAATCTGTTGAATATTTTATCAAATCATTAATACTCAGATAGCAAAAGGTTCATTGAAGAAGGTTTTTTACATAACTAAACCGGGTGAAACAAAATCTTTTTCACTTGTGGAGTGCCAGATAGAGAATATTGACAAAAGATATATATATATATTTTTTTATCTTAAAATGCAAAATATCTTTTTTTGGTATATCTGCTTTAAGTGGGTTTCTCTGTCAGCTAAAGCCATGTTTTAGAGTTTTATGCTCCAGTTCAATATTAATCGATTACTACATTAGTTGACAAATATTTCAATAATCTATTAACCCAATACATTTTTTCAGCTCTTAATCGATTAATAATATTTTGAACATTTATCCTCAATCCAAACTTCACCCTATAGTCAATGTCATGGTTCTGTTTTGGCCTGGCTATCACCTTGTGTTATTTTCCAGCACCACCTCCTCTTACACAGCTCAGCCTTTAGTTACACCAGTCAAGCACCAATTAGTCTATACTCACTCCACCTGCCAGCCTCTCTACAAGAACCTCCCTCAGTTAGCTCTTCCCTGCCTTTTCGTATTCAGTCACTACTAACCCAACACCTCGTCAGTCAGGTTCTGTGCTTCCGTTACTGCGCTGCTGGATCTTTGCCTTCTGCCCCGTGAACTCTTGTCTGCTCCTGGGAATTTACAACAGCTCAGCAACTTCAGCTATACTCTCTGTGATCCTGTAGATATATTAGACTCTGCTTCTCCAAGAACTCACTCTGTTGTCTGACAACCTCTCATTAAAAAAAACAAAAATGCAGACAATCCCTCTGCATTGATAATGAAAGCAAATTAATGAGTCTTTTCTTTGAATCCTCTGTTCTCATCAGGCGTCTTCCTTTTTTTCCTCTAGGATCCATGGTCGGACACACACCCGTCGCTTTGTTTGCCTGGCACTGAGCCAGGCCGAAACGTTTTGCAGGCTATGGCCACTGATCTCTAGAGCTATGACGCAAATGGTCGTTGAAAGAAATGTTTACATTTATCATTTACGTATTTAATTATACAAATGTTTACATTGTTGGAAAACATAATGAAGGTTTGTTTGACCTCCTCCACACCATGACAAGGGCGTGCTTCGGTGGCGCAGTGGTTAGCGCACACGACCCATGTATGGAGACCCTAGTCCTCGACGCGGCTGACTCGGGTTTGAATCTGGCCTGTGGTCCTTTGCTGCACGTTTCTCCCTCTCTCATACCCACTTTCCTTTTAGCCTACTGTCCAAAAAAAAACAAAAAAAAAAAACACAGCCACTAGAGCTGTAAAAACTAAAAAAAAAACAAACCCCTCAATGTAATTTCTGAGGTCAGACACAAAACAATACTGAAATAGTCAAATAGCAAATAGATAAGGTAATTAACAGTAAATATATTTAGAGTCACAACATTAGGAAGAAAAGCCTTGGCGCCACTAACAAGACGTACCTGTTGCATTGGACACACGTTCGAACCTTAGCAATTGGTGGAAGATGGCCTGTCAGACAGACCGTGGAGCAGAAGAGCTGCGTTGAGCCTTTTCTTTGGAAAGCAGTTTGTCCTTTCAGCAAAACCTAGAAAATATTAAAAACAAACAGTCGTCTCCTCCGAAGGTACACAAAGATCGGTAGAAAGATCTGCGGTGTAAAAAATCCACTTCCACAAAAATATAACCCATGTTTTCACAATACCTTGGCACAGCCGCTGCAGCGAACGCTGCCAGGAACGGCAGGTGGTGGAGGGCGTGGCGGGAACGCCGTCAAAGTGGGTATCGAAGATTGTACTGGAAGCTGTGGCCTAACTGGGAGGGAAGCCATGGCCTGGAGAACCGCCCCTCTGCCAGGGATTAAAATATGCGTCGGGGTTGGGGCTGAAATGACTGCAGGCACTGGTAGTAATAAAAAAGGAGAAAAAAATAAACTTAATTATTTTACAAGCTATTCGCATGGATTCTGAAAATGATTATGAATTGTAAATTCGGGGTAAAGATAAAACCAACAAACAAGGAAAGAAATGAAGGAAAAGGGTGTGAATTAGAAGGAGAGTGTACATACTTCTCACTCTGGATACAGTAGAAAAACTTTCTAACAGAGCTGATCAAGCAGCACTGAAGAAACATGTTAAAGTACTGTGCAGTGAAAAGAACTTTCAGACTTTTATTTTTACATTTTTGTCCTAATTGGAGCTTCTGATTCAATACATTTTTCATAGGACAGTAGGAAAATTCAAAATGGAGTTTTGAATGCTCATTTTATTAAAAGGAAAGCAACCTGCTAAAGTTACTGTACCCTGATCCTAATAATTTGCTGCGTAAACAACCAGTAGCAACAGTTTGTGATACCAGGCAATGAGTTTTTAATGTCACGGTGGAGAAAACTTCTCCCTTTTTAATCCCAAATTGGCTAAATTGAAGAAAAATTGGTAAAATTACAAGCCCATGAAGTTAAGGTAGCAGCATCTTCATGTTTTGTTTGTACGTAGCCCTGAAGTTAACAGAGGGTCGGTTAAAGAGCAGAGATGTTGCATGACCTTTGGGTTCCGCTTACAGCTTTTCCTTTTTTAAATTCCATTTAAAAAAGGATTTTGACAGTGATGTTAAGGAAGAAGAAAACCGTCTCCCACACATGCTGAATGTTTGGTGTTCCTGACCCAGTTGGAAACCCGTCTTCCACCTTGTTTGTTCTCTTCAGGAAACTCATGCGACACTTTACCTACTAGCAGACTTCTGGAAAGTCAGTTTAGGGTTGATCTTAACTGATCATTCCATTTAAAATTTAAAAACGGTTCCAAAAAAAAAAAAAAAAAAAAAAAAAAAGAAAAGCCTGTAACAATTGCATGCCTGTAGACCTGGACCAAACATTTTTTACGTGCTTTTTGTTGTTATAACCAGTCCAGTTGCTTATTCTGCCCACAACCTTTGGTGATCCCAGATGTAGTTTTTAATCAAACATGCCATTATAGTGGATCACAAGGTAAGTTTACCATCTTTTAAACAACAACTAATCCTTAGCAGTTCTTAGCAGTATGATAGAAGCTTTAGTGTAAGTACAATCTGAGTCTAAAGCTTATAAAAGATGCCACAAAAACTAAGAAAATTTTCTTTTCCTTGAGTTCGAATGGAAAATAATTATTATTATTTTTTTTCCCTCATCAAGTACTTAATCTATACCCAACGAGAAGCATAGCTCCTGGACTGATTTAGAAAGCCTGTTCCACTGTAGCTTGCATTACAGGCACTTAAGAAAGAAAAACTGCAGAGGGGGCATATTTCAGATGAGTGAAGGAAAAGGAAGAAGAGAGCAAAACGCTTAATTCCTATTTCCTTACAAGTGCCAGCCTATTTTTACAATCCAATACACAAAAGTTTACTGCATTGATTTCACATGATAAAAAGATGGCAATTACATATGACTATTAAGAGACACACTGCAAGGAAAAAACAGTTCTGTCCAGACAACGTATAAAGAACAAGCAGGGAGAACCTTCAAGACAGAGCTGTGGGAAAACAAATTGCTTCTTGTAAAGTGTGCAGCTGCCTTTATTGACATTACTTCTTACAGCCTCACATCGCATAACACCATTCAAAAGTTTCTGAGGAAAATTTACCAGGAGAATCAGTTGCCTTGCTGAATATTCAACCTGTTGTTTTCAAAGTGAAAAGTACAGAAACTCACCGGAAGAAGACGTGAAGCTGTTTCCTCCTCCTACAGAGTAGACCGAGCTGATCCTCAGCTCTTCCTGAAAATATCAAACAAGAAAAGGTTCTGCTAGTTAATGCGCTTAAATCAGCAGCGATCATCACCCTGGTAAGTTTAGAAAGAAATCAGGAATTATCTTAAGGAAAGTCAATATAATGAACTAAGTTCATCATTAGCATAAGGAAATGTTGAATGGAAAAGATTTGAGATGGCTAACAATTTTCCCAGAAGATTATTCACTTTAGACGCCATTCTGTACAATAAAGCAAAAAAATTTAAGACTGGCGTTAACTTTTTGGAAACTATAAACATAATAATTCTGTGTTTAAAAGCCAAACTTGAACAGAGCGCAGCTCTCAATGGGATGAAACCCAGCTTCATTCAAAACCTAAACCACGAAATATAAAGTAAAAAAAGTAGGTTGTTTTTGTAGAACGCATATTTACCCATAAAGGTGAGGCTTTGGCAACTGCTGAAAGTCTGTGCATCTATGGCTGTTGCACATACACAATACTGCCAAAAGTATTTGCTCATCCATCCTATGTATTGGAATCAGGTGTGCCAATTACTTCCATGACCACAGGTGTATAAAATCAAGCATATCAAATATTCCACAGTCACCTGGAATAGCAGAAGGTGGAATGTAAACCGTAACTAAGAGAAGAAAGGTAAACTCTCTGGGCATATAATATTGCTGAAAAAAGCAACTGCAAACAGTTCAATATCTTGGCAGCAGTTACAATTCTTCACAGTCACATGTTCTGGATGAAACCATCTATTGTTCACTGCCAACCCACCTCCTTTGAGTTTTCCAGTCTTCTTTAAATATCTGTCTGTTTGTATGTTCAGAAAGCCTGGAAGCTGGAGTCTGAGATATGATCCTTGAGCCACGTTTAAGTAAAACACATACTACTGCTTTCCTGATAACCTGGCAGGGTTCTTGCTATGTTTTAAAATTCTTCTAACTTGCTTCCTAAAGATCTCACATTGCCCATGATGATTGATGGAAGAGATGGCTTAAATTACTTGTTCCTCTCTCGTCTCCTGGCATCGCATTCAACGCCAGTAGCATAAAATATCAGAAAAAACAAAACTCCCATCCAAACATGGAGAAACCACAGTTCTTGTAAAAAGAAAAATAAATAAATAATATATCAGTCAGGTAAAGTCTAGTAGAGTTACTCAAAGGTGCAGCCACCATTGACGTCCACACCAAGAATACTGCAACGAAAAAAATATTTCTTAGTATTTTTTTTTTAATTTAAACATCAATACAGGGTACAGATGTTTTTTTTTTTTTTCCTTGAAAACACCTCTATAGTTTTTAGAGCAATATGGTGAATTATGGGTATGGGTCTTACTGGATCCCCCAATTCTTGGACAAGGTAAAGGTTGGTGTGGTGAGCAATATGGTGAATTATCTCATCTGTAAAAAGTGACTTGAAATACTGCAAGGGTGTCTTCACGGCATCACCATGGAGCCTCAAATATCTGCCAGGAGGTATGCATTGCTCAAGAGTTTTAACCAGTTCTGTTACAGACATTCTTTTCAGAATGTTTTTTCCATTACATCTTTTTTTGCGAGGTGGTGGTTTAGCGGACGAGCTTGTATTTGGAGTTTCCTCCACTTCAACCATGGACTCACAAGAAATTTAATCTTCCTCTTGTTTGGGATGATAGTCAGGATCTTCTATTTGTTCATCATTTTTGCTCAGATCAGCATCAGAATCTTGAGGTGTTCAGATATCAGAGCCTGGGAATTGTGCGTCCTCAAAGCATAAAAGGTTTTGCCGTCCATAGGGATGGGAATTGAAAACCG